GTCTTATACCTATAAGGAATTATTGTTTGAAACAAGACTTACAGTATATCTTAGGAAATTATTGCTTAATATCTTCTCAGAATAATTAACAGTAGAGGAAGCTTGTTACTAAATTGGGATGAGACTTCTTTTGATCCTAAAGAGAAAAGAAATCAGTTCAAGAGGGAAGAGAGAAATCACCAAATCATTTCTATTCAAGAGAACATTATAATGTCTTGCTTTTCTGCTTTCTTCAATTACATTATCGTTGTTATGTTATATAACAGGAAACATGTGAGGAGTATATATCTTGTTTACTTTTTTTTGCTATATGTTGATTAGCCAATCCAAAATCTTGACCAATCACCAACTGGAGATTCCAGTGTAATGAAAAATTCAGGATCAAACTAAAGTAAAAAAATTCCCCAAAAATTTCTGAAAATTTGTTGATACACTTGAAAGGGCTGCTGCAGACATTTGATTGGTGAAAAGAATTACATGTCTGCATCTACAGACTAGAACATTAGCTTATTCACCTGCCTTTGACAAAAAGATGTTCACTTATAGTGGATCCAAGGTTCTTATGGAGCTTGGAAAATGCATTCACTAGTGGATTCTTCTAGAATTTCAGATCTTGAGAAAGAATAGAGGAGAGCATTTTTTCAACAGGTTTTTTCTTTCTAGTAAGGTGTTCTTACTGTAAACCAAATGGATGAGTTTTGAATATACTGTCACTGAAATATCCAAGAAGTTTTGAAGAAAAAGTAGACAAGTGGAGAAGGCTATTGCCTTCAGGGATATATGTTGTTAAAGAAAGTGTTTAGACTTTATTATTGAAAAAATAAAAATCTTTTAAGAATGTTTTTGGATTGGCAAAAGAATTAGCGGGAAGAGTTTTTTATTATTATTATTATTTATTTTAAAAAAACATTTAAGCTATAAATTTTTATAATAATAAACAAGTTTAATATAAAATTATTTGAATAAATAAGTTTTTTTATAAGTATATCTTAAATATTTTTAATTAATAATAAAATAACAATAATTAAATAAGTTTTTTAGTTATAAATAATTAGACTAAAGATTAATTTAAAAAAGTTTTTATTTATTAAACAAAAAAATAATAAATATTTTATTTTTTAAAATTATAAAATTATTTTTTTTAATGTTAAGTGAGATATTTTTCACAATCTTTATTAATATAATAAAATAAGATTGTTTTTTTAATATTAAGGTAAAACATGTCTCATGATCTTTATTAATGTTGTAATTATTATTATATAGTTAATTCTAAGATATTGTTACGGGGAAAAAGTGATGGGTAAATTATAGGAAATTGTAAGGGTAAGTAAAATGGTAAGTATATTAAATATAATATATATAATATATAAAATGTATATAAATAGAAAGAGGAAGATCAGATCTTGTAACAAGTTCTACTTGCGTAATAAAGATTGTCTTTCTTGATAAAGTTTGGTTTGGTGAGAATATTCCCAGTGTAGTGCAGTAAAAGGAACTACTGCACGCGAAGTAACTTGATAGAACGCAGACCGACGGACTGATCTGCATTGGCGTTACCAGACTCTGGCCAAATTCACACGCCTCTTTTGAGAAGCAAGAACCCGCCCAAACGTGACACGACGCGAGTCAGACTGAAGCGACTGACTCGCCGTGTTTTCACCATAACAATATGAGATATATAGATGAAATTAAACTAAGTATATATTAGTTTATTTAGTGATGAAAGCTGAAAAAAATTTATTGGCCAGCCTGGCTGATATAAAATTTTCAGCCCAGTCAGCCTTTAGTCAGTTATTTTAATTTTAGTAAAATTATTTTAGTAATATATACATATACAATATTATTTTATTAATTTTTATTAAACACCAAATAAAATATTACTTTTTAAAAAAATTTTATTACATCAATTCTCTAATGTTATAATATCATTTAAACAAATGTATTTAAGAGATAATAAGAAAACATATTGAATATATGTTAATATTTTATTTTTATTATTTAATAGAATATTATTTTTATCCAATATTGACAACTAATATCTATATAATAACTATTATAATCACTTATTTATGTCTGAATACACATAAAACAATTTTGAATTATGTTTCAAAAAAAGAATATTGTGAACATAAGTTGGGCTTAGCCTATTGCATTTTTCAGTAATTATATTTCTGGCATCCGAAAATAATTGCTTAGATGGAACTGACGAAGCAAGTATCGCAAGATATTTGCAAGCTTGTTTCGCATGGCTGGGTAGTGTTTTATAGTGCAACTTTCACCAATTAAGTGAATTTTCCATTTTATACAATGGATCATTGAGTGGGTGGATTGGGATTGGTAACATTGTATAATATAATTGCATTTCATTTTGTATGGAGGAAACACTATCGTTATCTATATTATCAAAGAAACTGTTTCGATTTAAATTTATTTGCATCATAAGTATTATATTTGCTGGGTTATCTGTTTTCATAATTTGTTGTACTTCCGTTATAATGCTTGTTTGTTCCTTAGCAGTTAAGAATTTCAGTTTTTTGAAGTGAAGGTCAAAGTATGAGACAAAAGATCCCATCAACAAAGTATTCTGCCAGTGTATATTTATCTGCTCATTAATATAGTCTCTCACTCTTGTTACAATGTTATGTTGAGATATAAATTGAGCAAGATGATTTTTGATTTTGTTTATAGCGGGATACATCATAAATAGTGTCAGATAATGGCTTCTGCCAATAATGTCTGTAACTTGAACAAATGGCTTCAACAATTCTAATAAACTACTTAATGCTAACCATTCATCATTACTTAATAAGAGATTTTCCAGATTATTTCTATCGTTTCAAACCGAATATTCAGCATCATTTTTAAGAACAGCAGCCAGGGAATGCACAGAATTATGGAGTGTATGAAGGTGTTGCAAGACAAGATAAGTTGAGTTCCATTTAGTTTTGATATCAGTAATAGGTTCAAGAATTTTTGTTTATAAACTATCATCAATTATTAACTGTTGCACACATCGTAGTGTTTCATGGTATTTATCATGATTTACAAGAGCATTATTTAATGCCATTGCCTTAGCCATGAATTCATGACATTTTTTTAGTCCTTCGTTTATTGCAAGTTATAGTGTATGTACACAACAGGTTATATGTTGAATGTTGAGTTGTTGTAGTGCAGCTTTCATATTGACAGCATTGTCACTTATTCCTGCAATAACTTTATCACTTATACACCACTTCTCAAATAACATACAAAGGAATTCAGCGATTCTGGTGGCAGAGTGTCCATAAGAAAATTCTTCTATAGTTAAGATTCCTTGCTGTAATTCAAACTCAGGAGTAATCCTGTGAACTGTTACACCGATATATGGTATATGAAATTGTGTCCAAAGGTCTGTTGTAAAACTACATGTTTTCATTGAATTTTTGATTTTATTTTGTAGATGTTCTTCAGTAAACATGACACATTCATATAGTTTCTTCTTTATAGTACTTATACAGGGTACAGAGTATCATTTATTCAAAGATTCGTACAAACTTATAAATGTTGGTGTGTTAACAATATTAATCAGTTGTAAATCTTCAATTATTCACTGTAGCAACCTGGTCATAATATGGTGATACTGGATATCAGTTGATTTGTATGGTTTTGCCGTGTTAATGTAATTTTTTATTGTCTGTTGATTTTTATTTGAGACTACCTTTTTCATGGTTTCTTCGGAATTGTATACTAACATTATTTGATGTACCTTGCTCAAATGGTTTCCAATATTTGTTGTGGAGTATGATAATTTGAATCGACTTCCGCATGGAACACTTTGACCATTCTTAACAACTAATACTTGACAATATCTATAACCATCAATGATGTTTTTATCTACATAATCCCATACCCAGCTACTGTTACGATCTCTGCGTTGCACATGTTTTATTGTCTATAGTACTTGGACAGGGGGTTGGTGATCTGAATATGAGGTAGATGGGAGACTTGTGGATGGTAGAGAACTTGGTGAGTGTAGAGATGATAATATAGATGGTGTTAAATATTTTTCATTATGATTAGAAAAAGTGAAAGAAGAAAGAGATTCATATAATGGTGTGGATTGTGTGGATATAGTTTGTCGATGTCTAGTGGTTGTAGTATTATGAATGTTTGGGTCGTATTTTATAAATCGTCTCAGTCTGCTTTTTCGTTAATTTGACATAACTGCGTTTAATTAAACATATATGTATATGCGATTTCACATATATGTATGCTTCGTTATTTTTTTTTCTGGTTGGCTTTCATCTTTTTATACATTTTGGTTAGGATGACTTTTACATTCTAAAAATATGGCAATATCGATTATCTAATGTCTTCTTAAGATTCTTTCTAATTACATAATGTTCGGGTACAATAGTTTACATTATTTAATTATCTCTTATGATTCTCTCCTTATTACCTAATTTCCTAATACACTATTCTATTATTATTTTAACCATTTCCCACCACTTACGCTTAAGTACCATGATCGGAATGGGTCCTTCGCAGCACGATTACGACAGTTAGTCACGTGACTGGTGTCACGTCATAATTTTACTCTGATACTTCCCCCACGCTTATCTTATGCGTACCACACATAGGGTTTTTAATACAGTGGATCGACTGTAATGGTTTGTCAGCAAGTGCCAGTTGTTGATAAGAGATTAGATCATCGATTATCTTATTTCTCCATTTGTGCTTGATCCTTAGGTACATCAAGCTGGTGATCTCTTGGGATCATAGTGTTATGGCCAGTGATGTCGTTAGAGAAGCCATTGTAGTCTGGTTGCTTATTTTACTCCAATTGACCAGATGATGTCAGACTGTGATGGTGCAGGTGTTATATTGATGGTGTTTGATTTCCAGTCTATGCGCGTGTATTATGACTTTCAGTAGTTATATTGTTTCAGTTTTTTAGTCACTTCAGATTTTTTGTCGCCACCACCTCCGAATTCAGGAATTTCTTGACAAGCCTATTCCCTTCATTGTATGCCGAGAGTCTTCAAGATCAGGTTTATTGTTAATGAGTTCCTTTTGCATAGTGGCGTATCCTCCTCTCTGATCATAATTATTCGTGATGGTTGGTCGCTCTTTTTCGTCGCAGGGTCTGCTCTCATAAGTATTGTCTTTTCTTCGAGGCATCCTCCAATGTTACCTTCTCCCTCGTTAACATTGTTGTTTCTCTTATCTTCCATTGTTAGGATTTCATCATTGTCAGGGCATTCCTCCAGATCCTTGCTTGGGTGGCTGGTCGTTATTTTTTCTAGGTGTTTGGTGTTTCTACAGGGATGTTGCTGCAGCCTACGCTCTCGTCGTTCTTCCTGTTGCTCGTGATTTGTCACTGATTTATTCTCTTCTATACTTATGTCTTCCAGGATCTCGGGTAATCATCTATTGTTTCATTCAGAGATTTACTTTGTTTTCACAGGTCATAATTCATCTTTTTGTTACAACGTTCTTCAGGATTTGCGGTGTACGAGTCCTTTGACGAATGTCCCAATTCTCCATTTTCATCAAGTTGCATCCCTTCTGTCCCAGACGATCCTTGGGAAAACTTGTCCTTCTTTGGACAATCTTCGGTGTTATGGCCTCTCTTCCTTGAATCTCCACAATCCAAATTCTTTTCTGACGGCGTCTCCGGTTCACTTATGCTTTTTTTAGCGAGTACGGCAGGTTTGTTCCACTTCGTCCCTAATCCTTATACTTGCTTCATTAGTCCTTGGATGCAGGCTTCTAACTCTTTTGCTCGTTCAATCTTTACTGCTTCTTTGAGCACTTCTCCTGACGTGATTGCATTTCTGACGGTTGGTTGTGTTAGTATATCTTCCCTTAGTCCAAGTACCAGCAACCAATGCGCCGCTTCTTTAACATAATCACCCTTTGGGTAGAGCTTCTTGAGTAGCTTCACAAACCTACAGGCGTACTCTATTACCTTTTTGTTCTTGCCTTGCTGAATGGTTTCCAATTCTTCTTGCTATCGACAATATTGCTCCAGCATTTCGAAATGCTGTATAAACATCAGTATAAAGCTTTTTCCATTGTCACATTCATCCCAATAAACGAACTGGTTTCATACCACTCCTTGGCATTTCCTTCCAAGTAGCGACTTATTTCTCACTACTTGGCCAACCATAGAATTTGGCGGCCTTCTTGCTTTAATCACTCTCGTGAGCTCTCTTCAGCTTTTCCCTCAAACCCATGTAGTTTGACCCATCAGACTTTTTCTTCTTGCTTTGTTTTCTTTATTATCAAGGGCCCACGCTACTTCTTTATCTCACAGTCACCACCAAATTTGTGATGGTTGTTTGGCGAGTCTATCACTAAAGTGGGGCAGAGTGAAATTTTATTAGCGGCTGAAACATTTTGCATATCATATATAGTATAAATTTTTGTCAACTTAGTTGGCCAGCTATACATACCTTATTTAGTAAAAATTTTATCAGCTTAGTCGACTGGCTAGATATACTTATATAGTAAAATTTTCATTGGCCTGTGTCAGCCATAAATCATTTCAGCCAGCCAAGCCAACCATAACAGTCAGGCCAGTTCAATCACAATCGATTTTTGTCACTAAGTTTACTATCTATTGTAGTAGATATATTTCTAAATAAAAACCCTGGGGCAGGAAAAAGTAAGAAAGGAACTATCTATGATATTAATATATTAAAAAAAAAAGTGCAAGATTACCTTAGGTAAAAGAATATATAGATATAGTGATTTGAAAGATAGAATGTGTAAATGTGAAGTCACTATATATACGGGATGTGTTTTGAATGAAAAGTTGTATAGAGATAATATGTGTTGAGGTTTGAAGTTGTATTATCTTTGAATTAATAATCCCTTCTACAGGGCACAAATCAAATGTGTATATCTAGGTTACCACTTCTTTTTCGATAGCTGGATGTGACTCCAGCAGTAGTAAAGAAGCACTGGCTTAAGCTGCCAGATTATGGGGTGCAACTTTCTGATATTTCACTTCTACTTGCAATAAAAGTGCTTCACATTAGTTAGGCTTTAACTGTCTTTTTTTTTTAACAGTAGCATTACTGTTTGTGAAATATAACTCCATTGTTAAAATAATATAATTGGTTATATAGTTGATAAAAGAGTGTTGTGATTAAAATATATGTAAGTTGGATAAATAAAGCCTACTCCAGTTGATTGTTATGTTGTTTGGATGTATATTAAGTAAAGATTATCAAAACCCATGCAGGGTACAAGTCCTATGCTCTTCCAATCTGGTAGGTTGTCAATTGATCGTTTGTTGTTACTATTGTTATTATTGTTATTGTTGTTGTTATTGTTGCATATAAGAATTTTATTGAGAAACTGGTTGTGAATGAGTTTGAACAGGTTTGATATTGTTGTTAATAAGTAGAGATATTTTATTGATTATTTGTTGAGTATAGATTTTTGAATAGGATAAAACTAATTGCAGTTTTTTAAGTATGTTTGGAGAAAATTGTAAAATAGTAAAGAAATGGTATGTGGTATTGTTTTTAAATAGAGAAGAGAAATAATAAATTTTTAAAGGTTGTATTAAAACAAACATTAGATCCAGTAACTTTGTTTGAATGTGTTATTAGAATTGAATTTATGTTATGGAGAGAGAAATGTAAGAGGAAAGGTGATTATAATGATCATAAAGAGGAAGGTACTTAAAGACAAAAAATTATAAAGGAAGGTTGCCATGGATCTTTCCCCATGCAATCAAGAGCTAAGGAAAACTTCCAACTTGCTTAGGTTTTGACCAGAGGTCTCATTCCAATGCAACAGTATTCCTTAAAGTCTTTATGTCCTTTGAATTTAAAGCTTATTTGTTTTAAGGAATAAAGAGAAAAAAATACTTATTGAAAGAAGATTTTCTAAAAAGAAAATTTTCAAAAAATCAATAGTGAATGGATAAGAGTTTTTTTTTTTTTTAAAAAAAAAATAAGATTGTTATATGATTAATATATAGTAAAATTTAATATAATGAATATTCAATATAGTGAAAACATATAAAAATCTTGATATAGTGGAATAAATCCAAAAACAGTTAAAATAAAATAATTTTGATATAATGGATTTAATAATAAAAAGTGAAAAAATCTTATTATAGTAGAATTTTCAAAATTTTTATTAATTGCTCTAAGGTTACATTATATTAAATTTCACTATGTATTAAAATGTACAATACATTGTTATACATGTCAGCTTATCACCTGATTAGTTATGTCTCTAGTAAAAAACCCTTGAGCAGGAAAAAGGAAAAAAACTATCTAATCTTGGAGAACTAATATCTCTCTAATAATTTATTTTATCCTGTAGGAGCATGAATAGATTTTCGAAAAAAAGTTTAAGTATGATATCAATTAGTTTGTATTGATATATTTGTTTGTAATTGTTTGATAAATTATTTTTTTGTGTTTTGTTAGAAATAGTTAGATTTTTATTTGGTTTGTTGTTATTGTTTTTTCTATATTTAATGTTTTGAAATATATTAAGAAAACTTTCCTTTGCTATCATATCTTTGTTTTTTGAAATTCAAATGTGTTGATAGATAAGTTTGAGTGTTTTATTTTGTATTTTATTAAAGGTTGTTAAAAAGATTTTTGAGCTGTAGTATACTTGTTATAAAGTTAATTAAATGAATAATAGTATTGATTATTTTTTGGACTAGTTAATAGTTGAAGTTTTTATTGTTTTTAAATTTTTTTATAAGTAGAATTTAAATATCAGGACCTGTGGATCTATAGTACAATAGTTAGTGTTTCACAGGTTAGATCACAAGATAATGGTTCAAATCCTCCAGAGGACTAACATGAAACCTCAAACCAGAAGAAAGGATCAATATCTTCTGATTGTTATCACAAGATATCAAGTTCAGTTTCAGGTGAAGGCAATTAGACCATCTCAACATAATATCTGGCACTATAATTTAATATGCGCTGTTTTCTATAAGAAGCCAATTCACACGTTAACTCAATGGACATTAGGATTGTAATACCAAGAAAAAACATAATAATATAACAATCATTTAGCAGTATTACAATAATCATTATCAAGTTTGATGCTTTTCCTGTTTCTCATGCATGAAGCACACTTTTTTACCCTTTAGTTTACAAGACTATAAAAGAAACAACTTGATTTTTTAAGAAACCAAGCTAGAGCCACAAAAACTTCTTGTTGAATATGGCTAGTTCACAGCTGATTATATTAGGATATGGTTCTTTGAGTTTCTATTCATTGGATAATGGATAAGACTGGAAGGTACATATCTTGGCATATTAGTACTTTACCTATGTTATTAGGGTCCCAGTGTTAATAATATAGGAAGAATGGAAGGCAATAAGTTGACTGGTAGTTAGAAATAATCTTTGCTTAGGTAGCTTTATCAAGTTGACATAATGGAAAATTTGTATAAAACAGATTTGTACATGCTAATCCTATTATACTTAATAAAGCAAAGTGTATGTCAGTAGTTGAAAAAAAATTTTGAATATCAGATAGGATTTTTTTGATTATAAATATATTATATTTGCAAAACCAAATATAATAGATAGTTTTTGAGAAAAAATTGTAACATTGATATATATTATTTGTATAGATATATGATAGTATAATGTAGAGATAAGATTTGATTGAAAGTATATTAGAAAGAATTTTGAAATGAAAATTATAAATTTTGAATTGATATTGGTTTATTGGAATTGATATGTTTTAAAAAAAATTAAAGTATAATTTAAAAATGAAAGATTTGATTTAAATATTATTTAAGCTCAATAAGAATAGATTATTTCTATGAAACAAACAGTTTTGTTTATTTGTTTGATATATGCCTTGTTAATAGAATGAGATTTTTATTAGTATTAGTAGGACTTTTAACAATAACATTTCAATATCACTTTGATACCAGTTCGATATTTAAATTTACTATAAAAACATATAAGTAGATTACAATTCATATATTAAATTTACTATAGATCAGTACCATTTCAATACAAATGAGATACCAGTTCAGTACTTTTTGAAGCCTTAAGTGTTAGTAGGTGTAAAATATATTGATAAGAAGTCAATTATATTGATTTGTGATAATTGAAAATTGATTAACTGTATTTTTTGTATTGGGGATATGAGTTTGAAAAAAATGTAAAAGATTTAAAAAGTTTATATTATATTTTAGATATTTGAGATAGTAACAAAATATAAGATTATGCATTTTTTTTTATGATTAATAAGTAATAAAGAAAAGATAAGATTACAAAATTATATTTAAACAATAAATTAATTTTAAACTAATTTTAATTTTTTAAAATTAAGATTTTAATATTTGATTTTATAAAAAAATATTATTATTTTTTATAATTATATTTAAGAATTAAAATTTTAAAAATCTTAGATAATTAATATTATATCGTAATAATTTAATAAATTTATTTTCTTGTAATAAAATAGTTAATAAATAATTAAATTATATAAATTATATATAAATTTATTAATAATTTATTAATAAGTCTTTTGTTATAAAAAAATAGTTTAATTTAAATATAAAAAAATATTATTTATTGTATTATTATTTTCTAAAAATAAATAAATATATTTTTAATAATTAATTAAATATATATTATATAGTATGTAACCAAACTTTTTGGAATTTTAATATCTTGATTAATTGTAAATTAAAATATAAAAAATTTTTTAATTTCAAAATTTAATTTTAAAAAATTTTAA